TGTTGGGGGGTAGCGGGAGTGGGCTGAGTGCCAACTGTGGACAAAGCCCAGGCGGTGGAATGGTCCTGCTCCCTGCCTGGCACAGGAGCGTGGTGGGACGGGGAGTGTGGGGCCAGGGGGACCACGCCTGGCGCAGTAGCCCTGGGGGGTGGCCAGAGTGCCACTGGGGGGGGTGAGACAAGAGAGATGCTGGGTGTCCCCCATGGGATGGTGGCTGCCCTCTCCGTGGGTACCAGAAAAGCAGGAGGTACTTGTCTGGTGGTGGCTGCCAGTGGGCTGGTTGGCACCAGTGTGGTGGGAGAAGCTAGAGTGGGCAGTGCAGGCGCTGAGCTGGTGGCCCCAGGAGGCTGTAGGCTTATGATGGCTGGAGTTGGACACAGGCTGAAGGCATCCTGTGGCACAGCTGGAGATGGGGTGATGATGGAAGCCTTGGGCAGCACAGTTGGCGATGCGGTGGTGATGGAGTTCTGTGGCAGCATGGTTGGTGATGGGGTGGTGATGGAGGCATCAGGTGGCACAGCTGGTGATCGCGTGGTGATGGAGGCCTTTGGCAGTATGGTTGATGTTGGGGTGGTGACGGAAACCTTGGGCAGCACAGCTGGTGATGGGGTGGTGATGGAGGCCTTTGGCAGTATGGTTGATGTTGGGGTGGTGATGGAAACCTTGGGCAGCATGGTTGGTGATGGGGTGGTGATGGAGGCCTCAGGAGGCACAGCTGGTGATGGGGTGGTGACAAAAGCCTTAGATGGCATGGTTGTTGATGGAGCGGTGAAGAGCGTATCTGTTGGCCTGGTTGGCAACACGGCAGAGGTGGCCACAGGCAACAGTGTGGCTGGCGGTGCCATGACTAATGACAGTGTGGTTGGCGCTGCAGTGGGCAACGCTCCAGGTGACAGCAAGGCTGACATCCCTTGTGATGATGTGGAGGTGGATGACAGGGATGGGGTAAAAGAAGCTGAGAGAGGTGGAATAGTTGGGCAAATTAAGTGGTTGTCCTTCAGCAATGTCATTGCTTGCCCTGCCAGGTGGGGTGGACTCTTGCATGACACTTGGGTGGACAATTTGGCCTTCTCACTGTTGTCCAGGATCCAGCTGTGCAGGTAGCAGAGGTTGCAGTCACATCTCCATGGGTTCCCACTCAGATACACTGAGCTGATCTTCTTCAGGGGGTCCAGGAGCCCTCGGGGGACACTCTCCAGCTGGTTCTTCCGAAGGTTGAGGGTTTTCAGATTTGAGAGAGAAGCAAAGACCTCATCATCCAGGGCAGAGAGCTGATTTGTGTCCAGCTGGAGGTCCAAGAGCTTGCTGAGCCCAGTGAAGGCTCCTCTTGGCAGGGCTGCTAGCTTGTTGTGGGACAGGATGAGTTTGCCAAGAGACGTGAGGTTGACAAAGATGCCATCTGGAAGTGTGGACAAATTGTTCTTGCCCAGGTCCAGCTCCCGTAGGTGCGGCATGGTGTCAAATAGGCAGCAGGGGAGCTCTGTAATTTGGTTTGAACCCAGAGTCAGCAGCTTCAATTTGTTTAAACCAAAAAAACCCTGATGTGGGAGAACCCCAATGAGGTTGTTGTCTAAAAGGAGTTTCTCCAGGTGAGGCAGGCTCCTCAGGAGCATGGGTGGCAGCACCCTGAGCCTGTTCCTCTGGAGGCTGAGCTCCAGCAGCCCTGGCTGACTGTCTAGCAGCCCCTCTGGGAGGTCCTGCAACTCATTCTCATACAGCCGGAGGACTTGCAGCTGGGGGAGTTTGCTAAAGGTATCCACAGGAAGAGTCGTGATCCTGTTTCTAGACAGGTCCAAAAATGTTAGATTGAGGAGAGAATCAAAAATTCCTTCTGGAAGAGAAGAAATTGCATTGATGTGCAGGGAGAGCTCTTCCAAATTTTCTAGCCCATGAAACAGGCCTTTGGGGATGTATCTAAGGTGGTTGTCTCTCAGCTCCAGCCTCTGCAAACTTGGGAGGTTTTGGAAAGTGCCCACAGCTAGTTCTTCTAACGAGGCACCAGAGATGTCCAAGTCTCTCAGTTTGTCCAAATTATCAAAGGCTCCAGGTTCAATTGTCTTGATCTTGTTGCCAATAAACAAAATCTTGATCAGGTTGGGCATGTACCCAAAGGCACCTTTCCTTATAGCAGTGATGCTGGTTTGCACAAAGATCATCTCAGAAATGAAGGGCTTTGCAGTCTTTGGGATCTCTTTGACATCATTTTTTGTCCCTCTGTAGACTTCCTGGTAGTCTTTAGGAATCTCATATGGATCTTCACCCAGGATCTGATCTTGGCATTTATGGGGATGAAGGGAGAGGAAGAAAAGGAAAAGGAAATGCTGGTACATTGTCCTGGAAAAAAGGTTTCAAAAATTAGTTATGAAGAACAAAAAAATCTCTGTCCACAGCTTCTGAACTGTGGTGCCATGCTGTCATTCAGCTCTCAGAACTCTTCTATTCACATATCTCATTTTACAAGAAATATAAAGACCATACAAGCCAACATATGCTGCATTTACAAGAGCTCACTTGGTACCAAAGGATGGAAAGGAAGAGAGAGTGAGCCAGCTCTTGGCTTGGCACTGGGAGACACCCCAGGAGGGACAAGGGCTGGATGGTCTCTTCTCTGGCCATCCTCCCACAGTTGGGCTGTAGGCTTGGCAACCGTCTGGGTGAAGAAGGTAAAGTGCTGCTGCCCATTAGTGCTGCCTCAGCAGTCCAGTTACTCAGCAGGGCAACAGCCCATTCACACAACAACAGAAGCAGTCAGCCCTGTGCCTGCTAATGAGGGACCAGAAAGGGTCCCAGGAGCCAGCCAAGACCGGAAGACTGTTTACTCAGAATTTCCACACTGTGCTGGATGGACTTGCTATTTCAATTGTGCTTCTTTCAGTTCAGGGGGGGTCATTTAAAACACAGCTTCTAAGCATCTCCTTTTCAGGATACTTGCTAATCGCATCATATTTTGGCCTTGGATATGCAGGTGAGCAGCAACCATGCTTTAGAGCAAGGTTTGTTAAAAGACTAGGAAATGTCCACAGATGACATCTTTAATACTGAACATTTAGCGCTCTGACCTACAGTTAGGAAGTGAAGTCACTAATGCACACCCGATAGCCACGTGAAGCCCACTGCTTCCATCGAGTCATTTGGAAACACTCAGCTAACACATTAGCTGGAATTTAATGGCCATGAGCATCGTCCTGGGACTGTAGTTTCCAGCTTGTGATTCACAACCCTGGGTGGGAGCAGAGGAAAGGGCTGTGGCTTGCTTCTTGGACGTCCATCAAAGTTGACCATGCCAAAAAACCTTATGCTGGGATGCTAAATTTGCCATGAAAAGTTGGGTTTTTTTTTTTTTTTTAATGTTGAGAGGTCAGCAAATACAGGAGGCTGAAAGCCAGTGGGTTTGAAGAGAAACTGATGGGAGGTAAGGTATGTGCCAGCTGCTCCGCTGGGTTCCCCAGAGGCAGAAGCCACTGCTGTTCCCTGCCCATCCCCTCTTCAGGGAGACTCCGGAGCAGGGGGTGTGGCTGCAGAAGTGCCTGCTTCACTGCAGCTGCAGGGGCAGCGCTGTGGGGTAAATGCACAGGTGGGAACGGCTGTGCTGGGTGCATGGGGAGGAAACCAAAGAGTTTTGAACTGCAAAGCTCTTTTAAAACCCTCCCTCACACCATCTGACTGCGGTGGACCTCACTGTGGTCTCTTGCTTGTTCCACCCTCCAGCAGCACAGGGACATGAAGAGACAGCCCCAGCTCTTGGTGCTGCAGCCTCTCCCGCTCATTGCTGCAAGGAAATGATCAACAGCCCCCCATAGCCGCCCCTCCTGTCACATTTTAAAGAGCAAAAAAAGCATTTTGAATCACTTACTTGGCCAAGCGCCTGTGAGTCCAGTCGCCGGAGCAAGCTGTGTCGCACAAAGAGCAAGGCCACCAGATGGGGGTCCCAGCACCTGGCCAGCACTTTATCCATGGCCCAGGCGCAGGGCTTGGTTTTGCAGGAGGTCAGGACACAGGTCTGCGTGGGGAGATAAGGGACGGCTGGGGAGCCGGCAGCAGAGCTGTGCCCCCAGGGCGGGAGGCCATTGCAGAAACCCCTTGGAGAGGACACCAGCACATACTCCCCAGGCCTTATCTGCTGGCGCCACTTGACTAGTCACATCCAGGCAAACCTGAACACCTCTGGGCTTGCCCGTTTTGTAGCCGATGGTCTCTGCAGTCTCATATCTCCACCAGCGTAACTCACCAGCTTCACAGGCACCACCCCCACTGACACAATACAAAAGAGTTTTCCGATCTAAAGCTTTTCCTATTAAAAATATCCAGCTGTTTCCTTCCTCAGGAATTGGCTTATGTAGCTAAAGGTGCTGCTCTGAAGCCATTTGTTTAGGCTCATAACAGCTTGTTTAAGCTGCCCGTGGCTGGACAGATAAGCTGAAACCCGGGCTCTGGGCTCAGCCTCCCAGGTCTGCACCTCGCCGGCCGCGGGGCTGGGTGATGTGCTCCCCTCCACCCCAGCACAAGCCAAAGACCCTCCTGCGGTGACACCCAGGGCTCCTGGCTGGTGCAGGGCAGCTTGTGGGAAGAAACACTCTGTTTGATGCAAATACCTAAGATGACAAGGCATCCATCACTTCTCAGTCTATAATTGCACTAATCACATTTAAACATTTCTTCTTCAGCTTTTACCTACTCTTGCTGAGCTTCATTATACCTTTCCTGGCAGATTTAAAAACATACAATCTACTGTACATTCTCAACAGCCTTACCTCTTTCCAACATCACTGCTGCATGCATGCAGGTCTACCCTCAGTGCCAGGCTGCTCCAGAGGCTGCAGGGTGACAGGAGCCAGGGTGCACAAGGGGACAGAGCTCACAGCAGGAGTGACACCAGCCTCCGCAGGCTGCGGTGTGGCAGCTGTGCCAGGGTTTGGGGAGCTGCAGCCAGCTGCAGCATCCCTGGTCCAGGCTTGAAGGTGGCTGGTCACACCAGCACCACCTGGGAGATGGCAGTCCCCTGTGCCGGAGAAGTGGCAGGGTGGCTGTGCAGGACTGCATCTGGGAGCACAGCATTGCCTACCTGCCTCCCAGGAGCATGGAGCTGGCAGTCCCATGCCAGGATCGCAGCCCGCTGCCGGAGCAGGTTGGGCTAACACAACACAGCCTCTGCTAAAAAGCCTCTGGCTGGGCAGCAGTGGGGAAGTGTCTGTCACAGACGCAAAGCCCAGCAGCAAGACCAGCGTGGCCCCAAGCAAGGACCCCAGCTCCCCGCAGCAGGCAGGACCAGGGAGACTGGCTCAGAGGAGGGTGGCCAGCTGCAGGCAGGGCTCTCCCAGCTCCGCCTGGCCCAGGACAGCCCGTGTCCCAGTGCCTGCAGGACAGTGCAGCAACACCTCAACACAGCCCCTGGGCACCACTGGGAGAAGGGTTTGCTGCAGCCTGTACCTTGCACACACACATGCATGTACCCATGAATACAAATGTGCATACATTCGCACTTGCTCTCTTAATGGAGCACCCACCTTACCTGCCATCCCCTGGGTGGGCAGCGCTGCTGGGACGTTGCACCGTGTCTCCACTGGTCCCCAAGCCTCTCTGGTGCAGACTGCAGAGCTGCAGGCCAAGCCTTGCCAACGTGGTGGGAGAACTGCTAGCTCACAGAC